TTATGATCCCCTCCATCGAAATCTTCATACTTACCCTCGGGGACATTCTTCTTCACTAAAGTTACATAAATATGAATCGAACGTTTCTGGTTTAATTAAATTGAAATCTGGAATTCAGTTTCAGAAGTAATAATTATAAGTGGAATTTTCTTACCGGATAGAAATCACAATTCCATGTCATATTGAGAGGGATCGACTTTGAGCGAGATCTATAACTTATTGTACATTTCTGCATACGATGTACTTGATGTTATCAGAATTGCAGTAGAACTAAGTCTTTCACTTGTCTATTTCCACACTTATTGATCATTTTTCTTGATTTCAAATTCATCAAAGTAACAAATTGGGACTGCGACCGATGTCATATATGCATTCGAAAATGACGATTTATTAAAAAAATTGTAAATACGTAGAAAAAAGAAGTAAAAAATTGGAAACAGCCGGCTATTAGAAGCAACTAACTAATAGCCGCCAACAATTGGCTATTTTCATAACAGCCGGCATCCATTTAGTTTTTCGATTTTGCAGATGAATTTTTTCATCGTTCTTGCTAAAAAAATTATAGATTCATTTAAAACTGTAAAAATTTATCTTTTTATACCGAAATAAGATTTAAAGATTCAAACAATATACTGATTTAGCTATAATAAAATTACAAATATTAAAATATACTTACCAATTTCGAGTGATGATTGTGAATAATATTTTTTTATTGAGTTTTTGATAATTTTGTGAGATCTCACTGTTGAAGCAGATGAAAATGGAACTTTCTTTTTATTTGTGTTGGAGAAACTGATAAGGAAACTGATTTGATTTTGAAATTTACGGAGTGTTTGTATTTATTTGTTATTTACAAAAGGGTATTATTGTCTTTTTAACAATCGTATGTTTTTGTAATTACAAAACATAAAAAGGGTAAAATTGTCATTTACATTTCAAATGGCCATGGTGGTGAATGTGAAAAATGAATTGGCCAATATGGTAAAGTCATTATTTAACTTGGTTAATTTGAAAAGTACCCTCTCGGATAGGGGGAAAAAAATAAAAAGGGGGGGGGGGGGGGGGGGAAATTTTACTTATAAAACAATTAATTAAACATATATTTTATTAATTAAATATATTAAGGTTATAATTCTATCACAAATTATCGAATTAATTGGTTGCTAATTATTTCTCCATTAAAAAAAAAAGAGGGGGGGGGGGGGGGGGGGGAAAATTGGAAGGGGATTGGATTACTATTGCATCTATAGTGCACTACTCATCGCCATTTTCAATGGTAGGGAAACGAAAGTAAAATGACACAGTTTTATTCTCCGAAACAAAGGAAAAAATAATAATTGAAGGATTGTACTCTGTGTGCAGCATGGCGAGTGATCTCCATGCACCATGGAGTAGGGTTGAAAAACGAAAATCGTCAAATTGGATCGAAACCATTTTTTTGAAACCTTGGTTTGGTTCCACGTGGATCCATCAATGTTTAGGCTTTGAGCCGAACCAAACCGCTTCAAATTGGTTTGATTTAGATTTCAATATTTGCAAACTGTTTCAAACCACCAATTTACCCAAAAAAAATATGAAAATAAATTAGTCTAAATTTTATTTAACACAATTAAAATTTAACACATTTCAATTAAAAAGATACCTTCATATTAGACATAATTCAATTGAACTCAATTCAACATTTTTATATCTCAATTAATTAATTAAATCAAATCCAAATACACATTAGTCAGCACAACTATGAATACAAAATTATTAAATTGGGTAAAGTGTTGAACAATTGCTGCTAAACCATATTTATTGATTTTTCATTACAATTGAACAGACAATTAAATATAGATTTTAATTCAAACTTGAACATTTCATTTCATTCTACTAATAATTTTCTTAAATTTTGCCTAAATTTAAGCAGATTATCCAAATTCTTTTATTTTCTGATAATCTTTTTCTATGTTTTTATTGGTAGTTATGTTGTTTTGTTCTAATAATTATCGGGCTCTCTTAAAGTAATTCGCTAATATTTGGTGGAGTAGAAGCATTAAATAATTCACAAAAAGTCGCAGTAGCTAGGTATTATTGTATTTTATTCTTTTATTCATTTTATTTTATTAATTATTTTACATCATTTAACTATAATCAATAAATTTATGTAATATTTTTATATTTATGAAGAGAATGAATAGTATATTACAATTTTAAATGGATACCATTAGTATTGATTAAGAGTTTTGAAATATTTATATCATGTTGTTGCATTATAATGATTATAATTATATAATTTTGATTTGTAATTTTTTTAATAATACAACTTATGTTTTAACGTGAAATTTTAGACTAATATTTACGATTTAACTTATTTGATATATATTAATTTTTTCATTGTTAAATTGTGGTTTCATATCAAACCAAACTGAAAAAAAATGGTTTGAATTGGTTTGGTTTAGTTTGAAAAAATTCGAAACTGTTTTAAATGGTTTGTTTTGAAAATTTATTTCAAACTGTCCAAATCAAACCGTGTTCACCCCTATCATGAAGTAGTGATCTCCGTGCAGCATGGAGACTACTCTCTCCTGCAGCATGAAGATTTCTTTTTCATTTTTCGTTTTTCCTCATTTATTTTTAAATTGGTTTTGTTCATATTATAAATAATTTTTTCTATTTAAAATTCTTTTTAATTCTTTTCTTTTTATGATATAATTTTTTTATTTTTAATTAAATAATATGTATATATTCTTTGTTTTATTTTCGTAACTTTGTTTTGTTTAATTTATTTTGTTTTTATTATATTTTTTTGATATTTTTTTTAAATTTCTTCTTTTTCATATTATAAATAATTTTTTTTCGATTTAAAATTCTTTTCGATTCTTTTCGTTTTATGATAAAACATAATTTTTTAAATTTTAATTATTTCAATTTAATTAAAAAACTTTATAATAACTTTTTTTTTTGGCTTGCAATTCTTTTTTTTTTTGTTTTTTAATTTGTTAAATCATTTATTTTTTTATTAGTGTTGGTGTAAAATGATAGTCACAATTCGGTTCGCTTAATTTTTTGAGATTATATTTTATTTTATTATCTCTTATTCAATGTTCCAATATTTTGAATTTTTACATGATGAAATACTATCTAGATGCGGAGTGGAGAAGCATAATCCTTAAGATTAGGACTATTTATTTTAGTCATTATGTTGATTTTTTCCATTTTGGAAAAACACTTCATCTCAAACATTAAGGTAACGAGTGAATATAACAAACATTGATCAAGATTTAATTATTATTAATTAAATAATTAATATTTTTCTATAATTATATATATAATATATTCAATCATTTATCATATTATTAATGGAATAAAACAACGTCGTTTTGCCCTTCGACGTAGGGAAACGATATCGTTTTGTCCTACAAATGCAGATAAAAAGGGATAAAAAAGAAAAAGAAAATTAATAGGGACACACAAACACATATACACACACACACACACACATTGAGATAAAATGCAACTAAACACTTTAGATATGAACAGTGCGGGTATATTGTAAATGCAGGGTAAAAATGGATAAAAAAAGGAAGCGAAAATTAATAGAGACATAATAAAAGGCAAAAATATATATACAGCTCAGACTTCTCATTCCCCTTTTATGCAGTAGTAAAGTGAAACGTCACTGTATCCATCATGAAAATTATTGAAGACAACACGACGTCATTTTTACTCCCATAATGAAAAAAAGATGGCTACAATGTGATTAAATGGAAGAATTCACTGTTCCTAATTACAATACCTTCCCATTCCCTTTTTTTATGTAGTAGTGACATAGCTTGATTTGATGTTAAAATATCAGGCAGCTCTATTTTGGTTTGCCGGGAATGGGTTTTCGATTTGGGGGATTTGGAATTTAGGGTTCGTAACTAATTTGAGAATTTTATTTCTCTGTTTGTGAGAGAGACAGGATGGGTTTGGGTTTTGGAGATTTCAATTTTGGTTTTATTTTTAAAGTAAAATGTGTTTTTAAGTTAACAACATGTCCACCTGTGTAGCACTTGTATGAAATGGCACCCAACGGTTGACACATGAAGCCACATTTGCAGCCACGTCATCGTTCCGTCAGTTTTTGGATGAATCGTGAGCTAAGTGATGAACGGGGTTACAAATGCAAAGTTTGGTGATGAATTGAGTGAATTTTAAAGTTCAATGACCCCCTATGAATCTTTTGCAAAGTTTAATGATCATTTGGACTATCATCCCTATAAGTTGAGCACATTTTGAAATATTTAATAGGATATCTTCGCATAAATAAATACTATTTTTCACCCAATATTTAGAGGGTGTTTGTGTTCCATTTTTGTGTAAAAATGTAATTTAGAATAAAAAAATGATGAAAAATGTGTGGTTGAAAAATAAGAAAATATTTTTTATTTACTTGTAATATTTTTTTAATAAAGAATGTGTGGTTGAAAAGAAGTGAGAGAAAAATATATTTTTAAAAAAATGGGTACGAAACGGGCCTTGTTAATGACGAATCGTTCATAATTCCGAATAGCCCCGTGTGGCCCCCATTCTTTTGAAATTATAATAGTTGGAATAATGTTTTTTGAAAAATATGTGGTTGAAAAAAAATGAAATTTTTTTGATTTGTGTGTAATATTATTTTATAAAAGATTTTATGGTTGAAAATAAGAAAGACAAAAAAAAATGAGAATGAGAATGAGAATGGGGTAAAATGAGAAATAATAAAACACTTCAAAAGGATTCTCAAGATCATAATTCCGAATATAGTCCTTGTTTGACCCTCATTTTGGGAGAAAAATAAATTTTGGAATAATATATTAATGAGAAATGTGTGGTTAAAAAATAATTTAAATTTTAAATTTACGTGTAATATTATTTTATTAAAAAATATGAAATTGAAATGATATCAAAATATTATTTAAAAATGTATTTTGGTTGAAAGAATGAGGCTAAAACATGGGCATAAAAAACACTTCAAAACGAATTTCAAGACAGGGATGAAGGAACAGCCCCACCGGCACACACTAACACTACGACACATGCACTTCTACTTGTATATATCTACCCCTGCCAGCTCATCTAAATAAAAATCTCTCTCTTTTTCCAATATATAGTCATCTTCCAAGAAGGAAAGGGTGTTTCGTCGGCCACTGGAATCCTGACTTGCGATGGAGGATTATTTGCAGTTATTTGTGGAGGAGACTTCGTGGTACAATGACATTGTTTTGGGCTCAGTCTTACCGGAAAAATGGTGGGTCCCACTCCCTCACTTCTTTAGGGGATGGCTCCGAAATTTTATCGGAGGGACCTCGCTCTACTTGCTTTCTGGGGTTTTGTGGTGTTTTTATATCTACTACTTGAAGCGTAATGTCTATGTTCCAAAAGGTATGTGTTTTTCACGGTTTTAACATTGGTTTTAATTTTAATTGTTTCTTATATCACGATCGATGATGTCCATTTTTTTTTTTTTTAATCTTTCATGGGATTTCAATTTTTAGGTCAATGAAGCGGGTGCCTTCCATTTTTCGCTGAGGGTCTTTGATTCTTTGTGCATGATTCCTTTTTTTCCAGTTCTTCGTGCTCTTTTTTTATTGAAGTTTCTGCCATTTTCTAATGTGTGTAAAGTAAGCGAATTCTAATTGTGTTTTCTTGGGGCTTGCGAATTAGGTTTGTTGATTTGTTTTTCTAATACGTGTTTGAATCTGATAAATATGTATTGAATATCTTTCTTTAGCCAAATATGTTTCTTATAAGTTATTTGAATTTCTTTCTTAAGCCGATTATATTTGTTAAAATTTATTCTCTAAGAGATATGTGACTAATGTAGTTACTTGGTTTTTTTCATTTTTAGGGATTTCACACATTTTTCACGAATATTCTATCTATTGAATTTTTTTTGAGGAAATATGCTGGGGAGGACTGAATGGAGATATAAATTGAAAAATGGTCACTCTTCAGTCTTTTCTCAAACGGACTATAATACTTTCATCATCCCAAAATGTTATTATTCCTTGTAATCAAACTCTTCATTCAAAGAATGGCGAGCTCTGTCATTTTTCGTGCTATAATGGAAAAAAGTCATTATCCAATGATTCTTCCGCTTGTAGATAGGTTTTGTTCGAAAATATTGTTTACTTGTAGAGTTATTGTCTTGTTATTGTTTTTTGAACTCGTTTCTGCCATATTTATTCATAAAATATCGTTCAGCCCAACTGTTATGTTGATCTGGTCAAGTACTAAGCTCCCACAGCTTGACAACCAGGTTCAATGAGTCCTTTATAGCTCAAAGTATAGCAGAAACTTAATAAAGTTAAATTGCACATTTGATCTATAAAAAAGGCCTTCTAAACAAAAAAAAAAAACTTAAAATGTGGCCATTAAAAGATGGCTATCTTGAAAATTTTCTCATCTTTTTCTTCCAGAATTGAGATGTTAATTTACCTGATTTTTATTTGTGCTAATGATTTGTTTATGTTTATAATTATATTCTTCCTAAACACGGTGATTGTTTCACATACGTAATCTTCCATTCATGTTATAAGTGGTTCCAAAACTTTCTAGAAGTTGAGTTGTTTCAAAATTGGAGTAACCTGCATACAGAGCTGTTGCTTCCTTAAACTCGGCTTCTAGCAGCTCTTAGATGAACTTTTTAGTCGATGGAACTAAGATTGAATTTGTCAGTTAGCTGATCAAAAACAATGATATCATCACTAGATTTTATGAAATATCTCGTCCGGAGCAAAGCATTTGTTTTACCGTAAACAATTTGAATTTTTTGAGGAAAATAACATGGTGGTTAGCAATGCTGATTTTTTTTGTTTTAAGGAATTAAAAGTGGCTAATGAATCCAGATTTTGGTAGATAAAATTTCACCAAGTTTATTATTCCGTCCCTAAATTTTTGGAAGCATCTTGTCACATTCTTTTAGTGTGCTGCACCTTTCTGGATGTTGAGCTTGGATATTACAATGCAAGAGAGAAAATTCTTAGATCTGCTTGGTAATAAAGAAAAATATAGTTCTGATAAACATAATGCGTACAGATGCCATTCCTACGAGAAGAGCAATGCTTTTGCAGATAGGGGTTGCCCTGAAAGCTATGCCATGGTACTCTGCCCTTCCAACTATCTCGGAATACACGATTGAACATGGATGGACAAAATGTTTTTCAAGGATAAGCGATGTTGGATGGGTCACCTACTTCTTCTATTTGACTGTTTATCTTGTTTTTGTGGAGTTCGGGATATACTGGATGCATAGAGAGTTGCATGACGTAAAACCTCTCTACAAGTATCTTCACGCGACACATCACATCTACAACAAGCAAAATACACTTTCTCCGTTTGCTGGTGAGTTCTACTTCTTCCTCATCATTTTGCTCCATGTTTGTGTATTGCGTCCCTTGATGACTTGGTTAGAAATTTTGGCACTTCTTCTCAGGTGCACAGAATCATTTCCTTTAAAGGCAATAAATACCATCAATATTGACGATGGGAACCACTTTGGTAATGCTAATGAGAAAATTATGTGGAATTATATTTATTAAAGAGGTTCTTTCCTTATATTCGAAGTAACTTTCTGTTGGTATCTCATAAATTTGGTTTGGTTTATGTTAAATTTACAGTTTCATTAGGTAAGTACACACTGTGTGATAAGATAACTTTAAATAAGTTGTATACCATGGTATTAGATGTTATCCTTTCCCATTAGGATCAGATAAGAACTTGATGTGCGGTGAGCTTGCTTTAATTAAGTAAGAAAGCACTCACTATAGGATTGTAGACCATGTTATGTGTTCAAGTGAAATTTAAGATTTGACTAAAATTTGACACAGGTAGAAAAGATTTTGTTGCTCACTAAGTTTTCACGTTCTGATATATTCAGTTTTGTTTTATTTGTTTTTATGGCCAATTGACAGATAACCTTTATAATACTGACAAAAAACTTGATGCCAGGCTGAGTACTTTCACTGCCAGTCAATCTGCATTGATTTTGAGATCTCGAGTTCCTTGAATATATTACTTAAGTGACTTCTGCTTTTCTGTTACAGTCTTTCCATAATGTCAAAATATTCTACTGTGTGCTATTGTGTTTATGGACATTCAAATTTTAAAATTTTTATGAAAATTTCTCATGTGGTATCATCTGAAACTTCTTGAACCCAGGATACATGTTTGTTGTAATCAGTCTTATTGAAATTTCTGTTCTTATGGCCTTTTGAGATTCATCAAATTCGTGACATATGATTTGGCGTGTTTTGGTTTCAATAGGTTTGGCCTTCCACCCACTGGATGGGATATTGCAGGCAGTACCACACGTTCTAGCTCTCTTCCTAGTGCCAACGCATTTCACAACACACATAGCCCTTCTATTCATCGAGGGCATATGGACTGCAAACATTCATGACTGCATACACGGCAAGTTATGGCCTGTAATGGGTGCTGGTTATCATACCATACACCACACCACTTATCGTCACAACTATGGCCACTACACAATATGGATGGATTGGATGTTCGGAACTCTTCGCGATCCCCTCGATGACGAGGTCAAGAAGATATAACCAATGTTGCTGCATTTGTATCATTAGAATTTGGACGCGTCCCATGTGTCTCACTGCTCTGTTGTTTTATCATGTCAAAAACATTGTTTTGAGGGGTGGGGGGTGGAGGGAATAAGAAAAGAAAGAGGTCGTCTGCGTCTTAATAGGTTTTTTGTTCCTCAGTTTTATTGTGCTGGTTGTTTGTTGACTGTACATGAATCATGTTGGAAGCAAATTATCATAATGTTTTTGGTGACATCGGATGGTGGTGTTTAGTATAACTGAATTTTCTAGTCATGGCATGATCATCTTTAGTTCTTTACGCTTGTTTAATCAATCGAAGTGCAGTTGATTTCCTATGGACATGATTGATTTAGCCTATGTTCTGCCAAGGAAACGACGAAAAATTGGAAGAATCAAAGTTTTTGCATCTTTTTTAGAAATAAGGTAAGCCAAACATACTTCATATTTTGCCTGATATTTGTGGTAATGAATGGATTTGCATCTGAAAAATTTTTGTATGGTCACTGTAATCAAGTGATATGATATACAAATGCAATTCATTTGTCTAGAAGAAAGTTTTATAATGAAGCAAAATCAAAATTTTCTATATTATGATGCTTGGCTATAATTCTCGAGAATGAGGATTGATATATGATCTGTTCAAAGTTGCTATGTTATGTGAATGATGCATAATTATTTCCATATAGAGAGATGTTTGATTGTTATTCACTCAAACCTTAAGAAAATAAAAAAATGAAAAAGAGACGGCTTGCTCCATTTGTTGCCTAATCTGGTATTGATCATATTTTTCAATGTCTAGACTTGCGTTATACAATTAAAATAGAGTTGATCGTGCCCCCCACGGTACATTTCCAAGTGGTAAAAGGAGAGGGTGGAGAAATCCAACTTTGCTTGAGGCTATCGCGTCAAGTTTTCGAATTCTGAAATAGGATTTGGCTCTTGGATAAGTGCAAGTATACAAACAGCCTTCCACCATGTATCCTTGGAAGCATAACTTGCGACTTACCTCCCTCACGATATTTCAGGGCAGGGACGGTGGAGGACCCTGTTCAACCTTTTTAAAATAGAGTTGATCGTGTAAAAAGAAAGAGTAGCAAAATTTTACTTTTTGAAGCGCAGTAAAAAATGAGTCAATAGGAAAATCTTAACCCATAAAGCTCTTTAGCCAAACGGGATACTGGTCGCAAACAACACTTCATATACAATTGCAAACAGTCCCTGAAAAATTGTCTAACCCACAGAATAACTGCATAAGGTGGTGAAATACCTTGAACAATCTTCGTGTCATATACAATGTACGCCACTCCGTCTCTATGCTTCATCGAACGCCACCCCCTTCGCTCGCGATTCCTCAAGAATTCCGGCACAATTTCTCTATTTTCATGAATCTAAAGTTAGTTTCGCAATCTTGTCTAGCCCTTTTACCAACGGTCAGAACGCAAAAGTTGAAAGCAGCAGTACTGTGTATGGAAATCAAGATAATGCTGCGAAATCTTCTGAACGCGTTTCTCAATCTGGTTCAACCATTAAAGCACCCACTGCTCCGTGGGTGAAGGGTCCTCTTCTTCTTGAACCCAATCAATTAAGAAATTTTCTTCAAGACCTAGAAAAGATTCCACCTCAGATGAAATTGAACAACACCCTGATAAGGCCTTGGCTGGTGCCTGGTAAAGTGAATGGTGGAAGAGGGAAAAAAGCCATGAAGAAAATCTTTCAAGGCATTGAGAAACTCCAAGAAGCCGAAAATTTGGAGGAAACTCAGTGGGACCCGGAAAATGTTAAATTCAGATTTGCACCTGGTGACTTGTGGGGAAATGCAGTCTTTGAAAATGTTGTAGGAGTTCAGGGAGATTGAAGAAAATGCCGTGGGAGAGAGATGAGAAAAATGTTGATTAACAGGGTAAAAAAGGAGGAGTTTACCACTGCCGAGTTGGTTCTTGATGGAATATTGATAAAGAGGTTGCGGGTGCGGGGTGAGGCTGCCATAACGAGAAAATGGGCGAAGGTTAAGAAAGCTGGAGTGACTCAAGCTGTTGTTGATCAAATTCATTTTATTTGGAAGAACAATGAACTTGCCTTAATCAAGTTTGATCTGCCCTTGTGCCAATACGGAGAGAGCGCAAGAGATCACTGAGGTTATGTTTGTTTACCTTTCCTTTTCTTTATCTACATAAATCAGCCTATACTTCTGAAATCGTCAGTCTTTTAACATAAGTTGATTGTTACAACAAAAATATAAAATTAGAATAAAATGATCACAGTTGTATATATTCTTTTTATCCAAGCTTTATCTATTAAGTCACCCCATAAGTCTGCAGTCCTTCTGTTTCAGAAAGTTCAAGATGCACCTCGTGTTAGTGATCAAGTTGAACATGATTCTAGCACTCAATTCTTATCCCATATGAATTGTAGACATGCTTTTAATTAGTGATCAATTTGAACATGATTATTTCTTTGTACTTCCCACTATAGCACCTCCAATCCATTGGGAAAGAAGTTTTTTCTGTAAATGCATCAATTATTCAGTATCCTACCTTTAGAACATTTTGTGATTGTTAAAAATAATTTTAATTGTATCCGCATATGTTTTTCCTTAGTTGCTGTTATCTTTGTTATTTCCCTTTCATCTTGTTTTTACATCCTTGTTCTTTCCTTAAAAATTACAATGTTGTTTTAGTTGCTTCCTGATCTCTAGGCAGATGAAGACTGGAGGCCTTGTTGTGTGGAATAAGGAAGATTTTCTTGCGGTTTATAGAGGTTGCAACTATTTTCCAGGTTCAAGAAATTTTTGAAGATTCATCAGAACTCAGTCAGCGATCAAGAAAATCTATCCTCAAATATGAGTTACCAAATCACCAGTCCTATCTGGCTCTCTCTCAATTAACATCAAGTGGAAGTAGTCCTTACAAAATAAATAATGGTATAGAAGGTGAATGGGAGATCTTACAAATCAATGTACCAATGTACGAAAGAGAAGCAGGTGGATTATTGGATGGGTTAGGACCACGCTTTGTTGATTGGTGGATGCCGAAGCATTTGCCAGTGGATGCAGACTTGCTCCCAGAAGTTGTTCCTGGACTTGAGACACTGACGGATGCTGAACTTACATATTTGAGAAAACTCACTCACCCTTTACCAACTGAAGAATATGTAATCTTTATTCTTATTTCAATGATAAAACAATGTACAATTTATAGGAAAAACAGAAGGAATAAATCACTTCCTTAAATCAAGAAAAGATTTAATTTCTTAAACTACTCTGCTGACTAAATGCCTAAGAATTGGAAATGATAAAAATAACACCCCTTAATTGGGGAACTAATTTACAGCTGCAGGATCTGCTAGAAATTAGGACTGAAAATCAGGAATTCTATACCCGCCCTCAAGCTAAGCTATAAATGTTAATTACACCTAGCTTGGAACTTAGTTCTTCAAATGTTTTTCTTGGTATCGCCTTAGTGAGAATATCTACAGTCTGTTGACATGTTGGAGTGTAAAGTAGAGATATTATCCTAGACTCTATTTTCTCTGTGACAAAGTGCTGATCAGTTTTCACCTGTTTTGTCCTGTCATGATGAATTGGATTCTTTGCTATGATGATGGCAGATTGATTGTTGCAATATATCTTCATAGGATCTGTAACTGGAATATTTAATTCTTGAAGCACCCTTCTTAGCCATATTACTTCACACATACCATGAGCTAAATCTCTAAATTTTGCTTCTGCGCTGCTTCGAGATACAACAGATTGTTTTTTACTTCGCCAAGTGACTAGATTTCCCTAGACGTAAGTGCAATACCCAGAAGTTGATCGTTGGTCAGTTAGGGACCCGGCCAATCTTCAGTGAAGATTTCAACTTCTTTGCTTGAAGTCTTCTTGAAGAATAATCCTTTGCCCGGAGTCATCTTTAGATACCTTAGAATTCTAAAAACAGCCTCCATGCGTTCTTCAGTTGGTTTATTCATAAATTGACTCACCATATTGACAGAGAAACTCTGGTCTAGTGTGGGAAAGATAAATAAGTTTCCCAACTAATCTTTCGTATTTATCCTTATCCACAGGTGCACTATCTTTCCTTGTTCCCAATTTGATAGATGAATCCATAGGAGTGTCAACACGTTTACAACCAAGCATTCCTGTTTCCTTCAGGAGATCTAGTACATACTTTCGCCGAGATACTTATATTCATCTTTTCGATCATGCCACTTCCATCCCAAGGAAGTACTTGAGATTGCCTAGATCTTTAATCTCAAATTCTTTAGCTAAGAATCCTTTGAGCTTGAGTATCTCGTCTTCATGATCTCCTGTCAAGATGATATCATCTACGTACACAATAAGAATCGCTCTTTTTTCTGTAGATGATTGTTTAATAAACATAGTGTGATTTGCCTGACATTGAGTGTACCCAAATCTCTTTAATGCTTTATTAAATCTGTCAAACTAGGCCTTTGGAGATTGTTTGAGGCCATATAATGATTTTCTTAGCTAACAAACCTTGTTTATTGTAGTTTGAGTTGCAAAACCAGGGGTAATCTCCATGTAAACCTCTTTCTTTAGGTCTCCATTAAGGAATGCATTCTTTACATCTAGTTGATATAATGGACAGTCCAGGTTGGAAGCTAATGACAACATTATGCGAACTGTGTTAAGTTTGGCAACAGGAGCAAATGTTTCTTGATAGTCAATTCCATAGGACTGCGTGAATCCTTTTGCTACCAAACGAGCCTTAAATTTGTTTACACTTCCATCTGCATTATGTTTAACAGTAAAGATCCACTTGCATCCTACTAGGCGTTTTCCAATTGGCAGATCAGATATTTCCCATGTCCTATTTTGTTCCAATGCTCGAATTTCTTCTAAAACTACAGTTTTCCATCATGGTACAGCAAGTGCTTCATGTATAGAATTAGGAATTTGCATTTTATCAAGATTGCTAATGCTCGATAACCAGTTGACAGCCCATTTTATGAAATAAAATTACAGATAGGATGGGAGGTGCAGGACCTCACACCTTATTGCAAGGCAATCGGCAAATTAAGATCATCATTAGGAATTTCAATAGGAGCCGAATTGGAGCTGGTGTTAACTGGTGAAATTTCTAGAGATTTTGAAGTTGGGTTGGACTCATAGTTATGCTCAGGTGGCTGTTCTCTTCTTTCCTGAGTTTTGTTTCTCCTAGTGTAGACATGTAACTCACAAGAATCAGCAGGGATGCTTTGCTTTGGAATTTGAGATTTTGGCTTAGAAACTAAAGGTGTTGTCTGGGACTCTAATGATGGTATGTCAGCCTGAACAATCATGTTTGGAGTCTGATTTAATTGAGGAATTTCAGTTGAAGGTATAGACAGATCCGTGGTGAGATGGATTAGAAGTATCAATGTCCCAAAGCTGGTATTCCCGTGTAAAATTCTCCCCCCGAATATCAGATTTGGGGTAATAAGGTTGTTGTTCGAAGAAGGAGACATCCATGGATTTGTAGAATTTTCTTGTAATTGGAGAGTAGCATTTATAACCCTTTTGACTTGAGGAATACCCAATGAAGATACATTTGAGGGCCTTGGGATCAAGTTTACTTCGATGTTGGGGGTGTATGTGGATAAACACGGAACAACCAAAAATTTTAAATGGAATGGTGGACAGGACTCGAGTAGTAGGATATGAATGGAGAAGGACTTGGTAGGGTGACTGAAAGTTCAACACTCATGAGGGCATTCTATTTATTAAATATGTAGCAGTTAATATTGCCTCTCCCCAAAAAATTTAGGAACATGTGTGGTGAACACAAGTGATCGAGCAACTTCTAAAAGGTGTCTATTTTTTCTTTCAGCTACCCCATTTTGTTGGGGCGTGTCCACACAAAAATTTTGATGAATGATGCCCTGATTAACTAGATAATCTCCTAGGATGACGTCAAAATATTCTCTTACATTATCAGTTTTTAACACTTGTATTTTTGTTTGGAACTATGTCTGGATCATAGTGTCAAGTTTTTGAAGATTTGACTAATTTCAGATTTTTCTTTCATAAGAAATAACCATGTAATCCTAGAGTGATCATCTACAAAGGATATGAACCATCTAGTTCCAGCAATATTTTTAATTCTAGATGGTCTCCACACGTCACTATGGATTAATGAGAAATGTTGGATTTTATCGCAATATTAAAGAGATGAAAAACGGAAATCAACACAAGAATTTTACGTGGTTCGGCGATGTGCCTACGTCCACGAGAGCGAAGCGGAGATTTCTTTACTCAGTTGTAAAAAATAGGGTTACAATATATTATTTATACTAACCCTAATCTGGGCCCATATAAAACTTTAAGGCCCGTACAGAAAATACCCCTGTACTGTACCGCGGGGGCGTTGCCCCCACACCCCCAACCTATTTAGCGTCCCTAACAACCAGATAGTGAATTAAACCTGCGTAAGGCCGATGCCGTCGCTCCGCTCCTCTCACTCCACTCCGCTCCGCACCAGCATCGGCCCATTTGATCCAGCGCCTATATTCCACTCTATATGAGCCGCATGTACAACAAGAAAGGATGAAATGCTTTGTATGGTTTGATGAAATAAGAGTTGCGAATATGTTTTGCAAATTGAGATACTTCACATTGAAACTCCATTGGATTTTTATTATTGAATAAGGAAGGAAATAACTTCTGAAGATCCAAGAAATTTGCATGACCTAAACGGTAGTGCCACAACATGATTTCAGTATCTTTATTGAATTGACAAGTGGAAACAAGGCATTGAGAAAACTGACTCTTGGGCTTTACTCTTTCTGCTTTGTGAGTTTGTCCTTTAAGAGATTCATCAACTCTAAGAAGATAAAGACTTGAGCACACCTCAGCACTGTCAATCATCCTCTCTGAATTCAAATCCTGAAATTCAAACAAATTTGAATGGAATTTAGTAACACACTTATGTTCTTGAGTGAGCTTACTAGTTGACAGGAGATTGCAATTCAATTTTGGTACATGAAGCACTGAATTTAGCTTGAGATTTCTGGAAATAATAATAGAACCTGTGCCAGCAACCTCGGCGACTGATCCATCATCTATTTTCATAGTAAAATTTTCACAGCATGGATTATATTGGTCAAAGAGATTAATATCTCCAGTCATGTGATCCTATGCACCCGAGTTTAAAATCCTTGGATTTATTTTTTCTTTATTTATTGTAAGAGCACTTAAAGAATTACCTATGTGTGCTAAGGATCTGGTTCCAATTGTGTTATCAGGTGGACAACATCTTCTGTAATACTTTAAGTTGCTCTTTGCTGAAAGGATTTGGTTTGGCTAATGTGGTGGTTTCATCAGTGAAGACATGATTTCCTCGTTTTTCTTTGTTGAAAGGTGGTCTCGTGGGCTTCTAATCTGCTGGTTTATCGTGTATTTTCCAGCAATTATCATCGGTGTGTCCCAATATCTTGCAATAATTACACCAAGGTCTGCCCTTCTTTTGTCGATAGTCACTGTTGTGGTGTTGTCTTCCATGTACAGCAAGGGCTGAATTTTCAGTGACTGGAACAGTAGATGGAGATCCAAGCTTACCTTCCTTCTGCTTTCTTCACGACGCACTTCTGAAAATGTCTACCGGATGTTGGGCAATGGTTTCGATCCTAGAATTCTTCCCCGAACCTCATCAAGGTCCTTGTTAGGACCCATTAAGAATTTAAAAATTCTTTTCTTTTCAATCATTTCCTTGTATTTTTTTTTTGCATCTGCAGGGCACTCCCAACTATGTTCTTCGAAGACATCCAATCGTTGCCAATGACGAGTCAGAATATTGAAATATTGAGTTACCGATAAATTACCTTGTCGAAGGTCATGGAGAATGGTTTCAATCTCAAATGATTCTGAGGTATTTTCATTACTGGAGTAGATTTCCTTTGTTGCATCCCATATCTCTTTAGCGGTGTTGTAGAGTAGGAAATTTTTCTCCAATTTCATTTGTCATAGAATTGATCAGCTAAGACATGACCATATTATTTTCCGACTTCCAGAATTTGAATTTGAATTTCGGATCTGTGGTTGCTGGAGGGGTAGACACTCTAGTGATAAAATCATCCTTCCCCTTTCCGCAAATGAACATCATGACTGACCGTGACCATTGGAAGTAATTATTACCATTTAATTTGTGTCCTGTGATGAGAAGATGATTGCTCTCTAATCCTCCATTCGAACTTGTGACAGGAACATCAAGATGTGAAGAAGTTTTATTTTCTGTAGCCATGCCGTACTTTGTCACGGAGATTTCTTAGGTTTCAAAGGTTGCTCTGATACCACGAAGAATATGTAATCTTTTTTCTTATTTCAATGATAAAACAATGTACAATTTATAGGAAAAACAGAAGGAATAAATCACTTCCTTAAATCAAGGAAAGATTTAATTTCATAAACTTCTCTGCTGACTAAATGCCTAAGAATTGGAACTGATAAAAATAACACCCCTTAATTGGGGAACTAATTTACAGCTACAGAATCTGCTAGAAATTAGGACTGAAAATTAGGAATTCTACACCAACTCATTTTGTCCTTGGTATTTTCCTTACCCTTTTAACTGCACTATGTCAGTCTCAATTGAATTATTAGAACTATCTTTGTTAAAATATTATAAATTGTATATAATAAAGTCTTGTAAATATTATAAAGGAGAAGACCCTATTTATAAGGCTACAAATAACTATAAAATGAAATAACGTAAAAGGAAAGATTGTGTAATAATTACACAATCAATTATTAAGGAAAATAATCCTACATTGTTGTAAAACTATCGTATAGAAATATTGATCCTATATATTATTATACTCTACTAACATCCCCCTCAAATTGATGCTGGTAAAAGCATCAATTTGCAATCCCGAATTGGATGTGCTGTCGAGTCAACATTTTCGTAGAACCCATAAACCAAGAACTCAACGTTGCTGAACTTCAAACCTAAGAACTAATTCAAAACTAGATATGATTCCCGGCAAAGAATCAATGTCCGACCAGAAACTGATGACGCTAAGAAATCATCACCAAAACATCAAATGCTCGCACCACACTTGATGCACCGAAGAGTCACACGTTAACAAAAATTTTGTCAACCGTAGACAACCACAAGAAACCCACACCTAAAAGGCGGAGTTATGACCAAAGAGAATCGAAGATTCAACCACTCCAAAGATATTCCAGAGAACTCACTCCACAAGAAGAATTTCCAAAAGAAATTCACGAAGTGTGCAGACCCACACAGTGAGCTTTATCTGTGTTACGAGAATGAAAACATTGGGCATCAATTTATCAATTCCTGATGCAGAATCTCACTAGGGAGTTCTTTTATTGCGCAACAAGTTCTTCATAATTCTCTATAGATGCCAGGATTTTGTTCCCTCTCAAGTTGCAATTCTAGTTTCTGAAAGAGAAAAGGTGCTCACAAGAAACCAACTTCAGGAAGAAACTGCACGGTTAAAAGCGAGGAATATGTCTTTGTCATCAACAAGGATTTATTGAAGTGTAGCAGTATATTAACTTCATGAGAATTCTATAGCTTTCCATCAGAATGCAGGAACCTGAAAAGTGGGAAGACTGAGGTTGAAGTTCAGCTGGAAGCAGAACGGCTGAGATTGGAAAACGAACTAAAAAATCAAGAGCAAAAGCATTTCATTGTAAGATCTTATTACTTTTTTGTCCTATATTTTTCTATTGAAAAATGAATATTAAATAGTGTAAATTTTGCGGCTTAGGAAGAAGATAGAGAAATGAGATAAAACCCTGGCAGCACTAAATCATGCTTGGAGTCCTTCTGAGCGACATTTGGATCAGAAAATGATAATACAAGAGGATAGAGAATGTATGCGGGAGATAGGTTTGAAGTTGGATAGCAGTTTGGTGCTTGGTAAGGAAAAGCTTCTGCTTCCTTCTATTTTCACTCTTACAGCTTCTTCTTGTTCTTATCATAAAAATAGTTTTTCTTAAACCTTTGGAATATCATAATTTTTTATTCCAGCTTTATTATTATGAGTGTATCCTCTTGTCCTGAAAGCTCAAATTCCTTCTTCCCCTGAAGATTTTTTCGTGATTCACTGACCTAATGCTTAGGAGCAAATTTCATGATACCTATGATATTCTATATTTTTCAAAATGTTATTTTACCCCTCATGATATTGTAGCTATATTGGCAGAAAGATCTTTGTTGGTCAGATGAGTAATGGTCAAAATAAAGTGTCAAACAGACAATCATACAGCCTAAAAAGGAATCTACTTTCCTTGTGATGTTAGTCAAGAATTCAAGTTTCCATGAGAATTTTTGTAATTAAATCTCCTTCGATGGTCTACACTTTGAAATGATAAGCATAAAAGATATTTCTTTGCCTAATACTTTCAGCTTTACATTTAATTCACAAAACAGTGACAGTTCTTTCTCACAGGGCGGATTTCCTCAGCAGTCAAGTTAATAGTCTTTTATACTATCACCTGGTCACAAACTAATATTGATAAAAATTAAACGCCAAATACATGGAAAATACATTTGGTTGGCAGTCAGAAGGAAAGAAAAACCTCCCAACAAGTGAAAAAGAATTTCAGACTATTAGATGAAGAGGATGGAAGGACACATTGAGCCTTTCGAGCAATAGCCATCAGAGTGGATTTATTTCTTTAGGTTACAGAAAATTTGGATCTTTGAATGTTAGTAAAAGCCTAGGGAAATCAGATTTCCTTTTTTGCTTTAGTACTAATCTATTAGAAATTACTTATCGAAAAAACTAATCTATTAGAAACCAGATAAGGACTCTCTAGTCTATTAGAAACATGATAAGGACTCTCCCCCTTTCCTGTGTTTTCATAACCCAAATTGTTTTTACTGATTATTCTTTCTGTTTTGATGGCATAAGAAATTCCCCGGCACTCTCTTCTCTGTTGATGAGGAAAGTCTTTAATTTGCTGTCTATCCGACAGGTTAATAGAGAGTTTAATTGTGAGGAGAGCTTGCATAAGTCCATCATGGTTATGGCAATACAGTCACCAGATGGAAACAATGTCATAGTTCGATGAGGTTAAATTGGTAAATGTTGCATATACTTCCCATAAATTTTGTTGCATGTACTTGCATCAAATCATAAAGGTTGCCAGAATATTTTTGTAAATTATTACCTGAATTAACACAAGTATTTGAGTTAGAATAGAAAGTAATGAATAGGAGATTATGAAAATATTTCCATCTAGCTTATATCCTCGTTCATCTAGGAAAATGTTTTTCCTTTTAAGATTTATTTTCCTTTTTCCCTTTCCTTCTATAGGTAGGATCATTCATGAATAAATAACCTTGAATTTGACGAACAATACAAGAACTTCAACCTAAATTACTACTTGATACCAGAGCATATTAAGCTCAAATGAGCATTTGGATGTCAAGATTGGTGTGCTCCTGCGAGCCAATATCTTGCGTGAGCATATTAAGGGATAAATACCAAATCAAATAAAAAGAAAATATTAACCAACATATAAAGGTTTGACTATTCCTCTTAATAAGGTCAATCTTTTAAGATGTAAATCTGTTACTGGAGCTTCAATTGTCAAACTTTAGGGCCTCTAAAATCAGGGATTTGTTTCAGCTTGTGGCAAGTTTTATTGAGTCATAATGCTACAACCTCCTTTCTCAGAGCTGGGTGACCCTTCATCTTGGTTGACCGAGCCATCTGGTACTCCTTAGGATTTTGTACGATCCTTCAACTATTCCTGCTACTAGATACCCTCTGGATACTCTCTTTCGTATTGTGCAACCTATGTATTAGTCAACCCAGCCCCTGGTACTCTGTAGGGTTTGAAGATCAGACTTCTCTACCTTTTGCTGCTCCACGAAGACTATATCTACAGTGGGTGACATACCTTCACATGGTTGCCGACTCTTTAGGTTGAAAACCGAAGCTATGACAATCTCTTTTCCCTTTGCACATGTAGCTTTTGCTGCATGCTCAAGCCTTCTGCTAGCTGTTCTTGTTGGTTGTTTATGGATGCACGTGAAAGGGCTTTTGCTGTGTTTGAAGATTTCACACCCTTTTGAACATGTCTGTCCACGTTGCCTGTGTGGACCACTGTTGTATGTGCTAGATTCTGAAAGTACTAATTGTAGGGTCTACTGTAATCACTTATTTAGAAGTTTTCAGCTGGACCTCTTCCTTTATTCTTTGATTGAATACCTGCTAGTTTATCTCGTTCATCAATTGAAGTCGGGAGGCACATCAAAGAAATGGGATCAGGATTTTTCGGTTTTGACAATTGCGCTCATGGGCTGGATCTCTTTCATGGTTAGAACTATCATTATTTCCTTGCTTTTCTCTCGACTCTTAGATAATAAATATGAGCCTTTCAGCAATGCATATATCCATAAGCAACGCAAAGCCTAAAAAGCGAAGGAAGTTCGACAAGTGGTTAGAAACTAATAGAATGGTTAAGCTCAAACATGTATATACCTCTAGCTTCATACTTCCTCAAAATTTAGATAGCTTGTTTGCCTTTACTGTTTTGATGCTTTCCAGTCCTTTCTGAATTAAAATATGTATGCTTTCATGCGGATATGTTTATATTTTATTCAATCTGACTTCAGGAAGTCGTGACGTTTTTGATGCTGTAATAGAAGGCATTCTTCAGCATTGGAAGCACAGAGAAATCGTGAAAGTAGTTACAATGCAGAAAAAGTTCTCTTAGGTCCTTTACACTGCAAGTTTTCTTGAGGCTGAGAGTTGCGGGATACTGGTTTCTGTAGAAAAACTTAGAGAAGGCCATGCTATAATTATATATCGTGGGAAGAACGATAAACGTCCAAAGTCATCACATAGAAATTTGTTGAATAAAAGAGATGCATTATCTAGGTCACTTGAAATCCAGATAAATGGAGTAAGTAAATCTAATTATCTCCTTGACAAATCCAAATCGGCAGTTTTTGTTTAGACTAACTTGTATATTTGTAACTTTTCTAACCTTCTGTTTTCCCTCTAATAGTCATTGAAGTTCTTTGCCAATCAAAGTGTGAAGGAAATCTGGGATCTGAAACGCAAGCTGGTAAACCTCTGTATTTAGTTTATTGAGACTCTGCCTGATCTCTTAAATCATTTTCATTTTTCTAATAGAGATATTGACGAAATAAGTATGTGGGATCTTTTTTTATGAATCTGTTTAAGAAATTTTTTAGTTGATTATTTTTTTCCATCTTTTGCATTGCATAATAAATGATGGACTTCAGTGGCTTGTGACCTTGCTTCAATGATTTTTTGACTGAAATTTTCATTTTTGCAGGCAGAGTTGAACAACAACAGCGATTGGTTGGATTTGAATACAAGCTGATTGCCATCAGCCAACATTTACATCTTAATGGGAATTCTTTGAGTACCTTGTCTTCATTATGGTGAAACTAGTACATGTAGTATTTGGGTGGGTCGGAGGAAGGGATTCTTCCATCAAATTAAATTATGCACAGGTATGACGTGTACTGCTTACATTTCACATTTCTTAACAAAGTTTTCAGGTTTACATTTTGAGGTGGGAGGAGGTGATATGCATATGAGCAAACGTGTTTGCTCATGTTCCATGAAAGCTGCATGACTTTGGATACCGCATGATGAATCGGCAGGCACTTGTCAGGTATTCATTCTAACACCACCTTAAAACTAGTAACATGTAGCATGTCCAGTAGGATCAATGTTGTAATTAGAGATTCTTTTGAATTAACAGAATGTCCAAGGTTTGACAAATACAAGTTGGACCTTGAGACTGAAACCTATTTTTCAAAGTCTAGAGACTAGACCTTTGCGTAACAATTACACGTGTAAGAGAAGCATTTACTATTCATGATATCATGCATAGAATCTCTTTCCAACATGGGCTAATTTGCATATTCAGCCCTCAGTATCCTCCTCTGACAGAATATCAAGAATAACATAGAAATAGCAAATAACAATACAAAGAAGAACACTATTTTACATAAAAACTCTAAAACTGGAGAAAAAAATCATGGGGCTAAGTCAGAGATTCCACCGTGTGTAAAATTGTGCCATCACACATCATCTCTCAGACACCCTAAACCCTAAGTACTCTAAAAAAACCCTACCTACTAAAGCAAACCTGCATAGTGGATGAGACTACAAAGGATCCTCACGTGTCACCCTACAAAATTGTGTTCAAATTTGCCACCCTTACTTTATTCTATGAAGCTAAAAGAATGAAAACCTCATGCTACTATCAGTCAATACTTAGTAGCAGCACTTCTTTAATTGACCAAGGCGAAATATTAGTTCCTTGCATAGTTACCATGCATTTCCTTCCGTTTATGTAAATTTTTGCTTTTTTATTTTTATTTTTTTATTTATCTACTGACAATGATGACAACAAATTGGAGAGTAATGAGCAGCTTTTGAATTTCTTGTGTATTTCCCTAGCCATTGACATTCAATATTAAATTTATGTACAAGTTGGTAAAATTTATTGTCATAAAATGTTCATTTCTTTCACCTGGGTAAACAAAATAAAGTTAATAGTCACCTCTTGCTTCTTACAGTACAGTTTTTAGTACCAATTTTTACAATGCTTAATAAATCTACAGACCTATCACTTCTTGGTCTAAAATGAAAATAGAAGTAGTACACACGCAAAAGAAGTGCTGTCAATCTGTGGAAGACTTGAGCATACTGGGAGTGGTAGCGCTGTGTAGTTTTCTGTTGGGAGAAGAAGGAAAAGGCTTTGGTGGAATCTGTAGAATTTCATGGCTTCCCTGTAACATATCCAGCATCCTATCGATGGATGGGCGATTTGCTGGGTCTGTCTGTATGCACCACAAACCTACTAAAATCATCTTTCTTGCAATTTCTTCTGCTGCTTTATCCACTGTACATTGCAATTTTGTGTCTTGATCTGTCAAAAGACAATTGTAGATCCAATGAGGGAAATACGATTCACTGCTATGGCCAAATTCTGTGTCAATATTTTTTCTCCCACTAGCCATTTCTAAAATCATCATGCCATAGCTATATACATCTGACTTGCAGGACACAACACCAAAGTTTCGAGAGAAAACTTCTGGTGCAATATATCCTACGGTTCCTCTAGTACCTAGCCTTGACATATTGCTCTCATTCCCAAGGCATAGTTTGGCGAGGCCAAAATCTGATATTTTTGGAGAGAAATCTTGATCTAGAAGGAAGTTTTGAGGTTTTATATCAAGATGAAGAATTCGTGTGTTGCACCCATGATGCAAATATTGCAGTCCTTGAGCAATACCGATTGCTATATGATATATTTTTTCCCTTCCTATAGGTGAAATTTTCTTTTCCCTTCCATATATGTAGTTGTCAAGAGATCCATTGGGCATGAACTCATATATGAGTGCTCGTTTAGACCCCTCAAAGCAAAAACCAAGAAGTGTGACAATATTCACATGTGAAGTCCTGCTAATGCTGGAAACTTCATTTACAAATTCTTCTCCATTTGCCGTGGACTCGTTCAGAACCTTTACTGCAACCAGACAACCGTCCTGCAGCTTCCCTTTATACACAACACCATAGCCTCCCTGTCCTAATTTGTCCTTAAAAGATGCAGTCATTTTCTTTATATCTGAATAGCGATATCTCTTTGGTGCCATGGGTCCACATTTCTCTAGAATATTTTCTAAATTTTCAGATTTCTTTGCTATCTTCCTCCTGAAAGGCCCACATATGTTTGCAATGTAGTTCCTTCTGAAGCAAACACATAGAATAGATATCACCAAAAGAATGCCAGCTCCAAACGCGGATGCAGCTGTTTGCAAGAAAGATAACAAGATTTTGATATCACATTGTTTTGCTGGAAAGTGGTCCGAACATATACAATAATTAATGTGTTGGGAATACCTATAAAAATTCGAACCCTGAGATTCGCATGGTTTCCTGCAATGCAAGCAATGTACAACAGAACACTTAGATATGATGCAAGTAGTTTGATGGGTGTGTTTAAAATCATAACATTGACTACCAGCACTTGAAGTGATGGATACTCTTTGGTTGACCACATATATTTTGTTTCAACTCTGAGATTCATAATTATTTGTTATCTGATAGGTTGTGTTAACAAAGATTTTTGCTCGATCTGTTTTGCAGATAGTGTGTGAATTATATGTACCTCGATTATTTTACCTGGTGGGAGTTGACATCTCATCAAGTAAGCTTTATCGGGACAGAAACATATAGGTTTAAAATAACTTGAGTTGTATCCACATCTCCCACCAGATCCTGCACACTCTATGCATGCTGTGTCATCCGTGATCCAGTGTATTTCAAATCCATCATTTAGAACCCGATCAATTGATGTTAAGTTATTTCTAAGAGCATTTACTGCTGTTTGGAGCACGGGGACTGTAACACTGGTCGTGCAGTTTCCAAGATCTCCATCAGTTGGCATAGATCCAATTGTGAAATAGCCATTCTCAACCAAGGTGCCATTCTCATGACAACGGAACTTATTGGAGGCTAATGCTGCACTGATAGACGAACATCCAAAGAACATAGTCAGGTTCCCAAAATTGGGTGTGTAACTGAATAGGTAACTAATTGTGGTATTCATGAACGCAGAGGGGCAAGTATTGTTGTACAAGTCCAATCTGGTTAGCCTCAAAACTTGGTTGTCGTGATCTATAATCAAGACTCGAAATGTTTGTGACAGGATCTTTAATGTAGGGAATTGGCCTTGGCACTCGAGTTTGAATTCTGGGAGACCACAGTAGTATGGTTGAGGATCACCCCAGAAGGGATAGCTAATATTTTTCATGCCCCCACACTGAAACTGGTGACCACACTGTATGTATCGTGCATCATCTGCTGAAAAAATTGATGGAACCACTGAAAGAATTATTGCAATGATTCTAATGTTAAAGGGAACATACAAGGGAAGTTGGTAAAACATTTGGCAGATTTTTTTCATCGAAGTTTGAATAGATGACTTTATAAGACATGCGAATGGTTTTGGTAAAATTCCCTTTAAACAATAATCATGTCATTGCTGGAATGATATTGATTTGTTGACATTTTCAATATTTAAAATTTTGTACAGTCAGAGAATGGCTAAATTGTCTATTTGACTTTATGATATAACAAAATTGTAGTCATTGCCCTTCCTAGACTTGTCCTATTATTAAATTTTCTTGAAAAGGATTGAAGTGGAAAGATCGCTGCAAAGTTCATTATTTTGCCTAATTTCCTTTTGGTTGACCTGGCTGCACGAGTCATTTTTTATTTTATTTTTCTCTTTTTATTGTAGAGGAAAGAACAGCCCGCCCCGTGAGATTCGACCCAGTTGTGCGTAAAAAATGCTTACCCAGCCTCTGCTGTGCTTTCAAGCACCATTAGCGACCTTCATGTTTTGCACCTCAATTCTGGGGAACGGAAGGATAAGATATCAAGCTTGCCTGGAAAATTTGACTAGTTGTCTACAGCGTTCTGTTTAGATTATTAAACATTTGAAAAGTTGCATATCTAAATAAATACACCCACCTTTTTGTTTGACTAATGCCTGTCTTCTTAGCCTTTTAGTGGAAGGCTAAAGTCTACGATAAGGTTCATTTTAAATCAAAGTTTTCATTATTTTTTAACTGAAGTTTTTCGTGTGGTTTTGGACACCATTTTTTTTATTTTTTTTTAACAAGGGAACATTTATTTTAAATCAAAGTTTTTATTATTTTTTAACTGAAGTTTTACGTGTGGTTTTGGACACCATTATTTTTCTTTTTTCTTTCTTTATTTTTTTTTTTTTTTATAACAAGGGAACATTTATTTACTTCTCCAAATATTTCTTATAATTTATTTATCAATTATCAAAGGTATACAATTACTTTAGAAGTTTCCATGCTCTCTAGTTCTCTTCTATACGACTTAGCCCCTGTTTGAAATTCATTCTTTAAAACTCAATTTTAATTGCACATTCTTTTAATAAAATGGTTCTGCACGTAAAATACCAAAAAAAATAAAATAAAATAATAATAATAATAAATAAATAAACCATACTTTTTAGCTATACAGACAAAGTTCATAATAATACTTTTTCCAGATTTGAAGTTGTATTATTCAGCAGGATAGGCGTAAGGCCAAGTATAGGTACATTACTTTTTCCTTTCTGAATTCTGTAGTTTGTAGCACCCTTCTAATGCGTAGAAGCTTCATCGATGTATGTTATCCCTATAACTATTACTTCTTGTTAAGCCACGCAGGCCTCTCACTTGGGAGAGCAGAATTACCATTCTATTTTTGCGATCAAGAAGAAAAATTCCAACTCATTTTACTTATATGCTAGGGCAAAGAGAATATAATGCGTACAACAAGACCATGGGTACTGCATATGAATTCAGAACATCGTCACACTTTTTGCGTTTTTGCTACGAAGGAAGAAAAGAGGTCTGGCCTATGATTTCTTGCCCAATGATCAACGAATTGAGACTGAGAATGGATCACGAGTTGGTACTAAGACTATCTCATTGCTGAACAGCATTATAATCTCTTCGCATTTGAAATATTGGTAATTCATCTCCTTGTACCTGCAATTACGTTTGCTCCTCCTTCCGCCTCTGGACTCGTACCATTGGAAATATTCGGCCTGGCTGCAAGGCCGGTTTCTATTTCCAATTTGGCAACTGAACCTGGAGTGGATTTGATTTGACGTGGTCAAGCAGGCAGCAGGTCAATTTTATCTTTTTGTTTGGTAGATCCCACTTTGAAAAGTAAAGATGGTGTCGCTCATCACGCCAATATATCCACCAGTTTTGTCTATGCCATATTTGCTCAGCAATAATTATTAAAATTTGAATTAAGCCAAACGACCATAGAGGTTGACGCAATGACTGATCGTGCTCTCACATGGTCGAGGTGGGTCCTGCCTGAATTTAAAATTTCGGAGAATGCCAAACGACCCTCGAGGATGACCTCGCGGGTGATCGTGCACTCACATGCTCGGCGTGGGTCCCCATAATTAAAATAATCCAGACCTCCATGTGTGTGGTGTGTTAACCCAGTGGTCATTCTCGCGGGTACTGTAGCACGGTTGTAAAATTTCCGACCCTCCATGTGTGTGTATGCGATCATCCTCGCGGGTATCCTTGTCCGTTTATCTTTATCCTTGGTGGAGAAGATCCATTCATGGACATTAATACTTGTTGGCGNNNNGTTGTGTGGTGGGGGGGGGGGGGGGGGGGGAGGAGAGAGAGTTACCATATAAGTGTGAAATGAGTTGAGACATCTTGAGACGTGTTCAACACTGACACGTCTTGGAAGTTGTGCAAAGAGTTGGACTATTTGAAAAGAATAATATGCGTATTCGAATTAGTTCTTACAAACCTTTTAAAGCTTGTTTCAAATAACTTCTGTACTCAATCGCCTCCCAGGCTTGACAATGATCGTGTCCGTCTTTTTTTGACTAGCTCGACAACTCATCCATAAAAATATTCTTTATACATCATCTCTTAGTAGGTGTCAAGACTCTCCAAAGATACATTAATTTGCGGGGAATTTTCAAAAATGTCACAAAATTAACAAGGTCCCCAAAAGTTGTCATTTTCACTTTATGTGAGCAAAAATATCACTTTTCACCTTTTTGTTTGACTAATGCCTGTCTTCTTAGCCTTTTAGTGGAAGGCTAAAGTCTACGATAAGGTTCATTTTAAATCAAAGTTTTCATTATTTTTTAACTGAAGTTTTTCGTGTGGTTTTGGACACCATTTTTTTTATTTTTTTTTAACAAGGGAACATTTATTTTAAATCAAAGTTTTTATTATTTTTTAACTGAAGTTTTACGTGTGGTTTTGGACACCATTATTTTTCTTTTTTCTTTCTTTATTTTTTTTTTTTTTTTATAACAAGGGAACATTTATTTACTTCTCCAAATATTTCTTATAATTTATTTATCAATTATCAAAGGTATACAATTACTTTAGAAGTTTCCATGCTCTCTAGTTCTCTTCTATACGACTTAGCCCCTGTTTGAAATTCATTCTTTAAAACTCAATTTTAATTGCACATTCTTTTAATAAAATGGTTCTGCACGTAAAATACCAAAAAAAATAAAATAAAATAATAATAATAATAAATAAATAAACCATACTTTTTAGCTATACAGACAAAGTTCATAATAATACTTTTTCCAGATTTGAAGTTGTATTATTCAGCAGGATAGGGGTACATTACTTGTTCCTTTCTGAATTCTGTAGTTTGTAGCACCCTTCTAATGCGTAGAAGCTTCATCGATGTATGTTATCCCTATAACTATTACTTCTTGTTAAGCCACGCAGGCCTCTCACTTGGGAGAGCAGAATTACCATTCTATTTTTGCGATCAAGAAGAAAAATTCCAACTCATTTTACTTATATGCTAGGGCAAAGAGAATATAATGCGTACAACAAGACCATGGGTACTGCATATGAATTCAGAACATCGTCACACTTTTTGCGTTTTTGCTACAAAGGAAGAAAAGAGGTCTGGCCTATGATTTCTTGCCCAATGATCAACGAATTGAGACCGAGAATGGATCACGAGTTGGTACTAAGACTATCTCATTGCTGAACAGCATTATAATCTCTTCGCATTTGAAATATTGGTAATTCATCTCCTTGTACCTGCAATTACGTTTGCTCCTCCTTCCGCCTCTGGACTCGTACCATTGGAAATATTCGGCCTGGCTGCAAGGCCGGTTTCTATTTCCAATTTGGCAACTGAACCTGGAGTGGATTTGATTTGACGTGGTCAAGCAGGCAGCAGGTCAATTTTATCTTTTTGTTTGGTAGATCCCACTTTGAAAAGTAAAGATGGTATCGCTCATCACGCCAATATATCCTCGCGGGTGACTGTGCACTCACATGCTCGGCGTGGATCCCCCATCAATAAAATAATCCCCACCTCCATGTGTGTGGTGTGTCAATCCTGTGGTCATTTTCGTGGGTACCGTAGCACAGTTGTAAAATTTTCGACCCTCCATGTGTGTGTATACGATCATCCTCGCGGTTATCCTTGTCCGTTTATCTTTATCCTCGGTGGAGAAGATCCATTCATGGACATTAATACTTGTGGGGGGG